TACAGGCGTTTACACACACACACACTCGATTCCGCGCACACACACACACACACTCGATTCCGCGCACACACACACACACACGCGTGTAAATCACAGACACTCCATATAGAATATAGATTGTGCTATTGTTGCTGCTGCTGTTGTTGCACATATGTCTTAAGCATGCCACATCATTGTCGATTCCAACTCATCATACATCTTAAACATGCCGCCGCTCATTTGGCGATTCCGGTTCATCATACTTCTTCAACCGCCCTTTCACGTGCGATTCCGGCTCATCATAAGAAATCTTAAACACGCCCGCTCATGTTTCGATTCCGGTTCATCTTATATCTTAACCACATATATATATATACATATATATATACACACACACACACGCCTCCCCCATTGGGCGATTCAAGTTTTTCATGTATCCTAAACACGCCCCCTCATTTGGCGACTGAGGTCCAACACATATCTTAAACACGCCCCTCATCATATGTTTTAAGCAGACCAGGGGCCTCGCAAGTTGCAAATACTACAATACAGCATTTGCTCTTGTTTTGTATGAAGCTATTGTGGCAGGAACCAGGGGACCAAAGGACCAGAAGATCAGGGGCCTAGGCCAACCCTGCCAAGGGCCCCAGACAAGAGCCAACGTTACGAAAAAAAACCGGGCCCATGAACCATTGAACGACAAAAAGGCTTCTCAGAAGAAACCGCTACTAATAGGTGGCATCCGGAACAAAAGAAGTCAAGTAGCTGTTCCACAAACCTTGACTTGAACGTGAGCGTCACTGATCGTCCAATGTTCTGGGGCTGACCCGAGCAACGAGGTGATCAAGACACCAAGCATGCTTTGTCCAATCAACTTCGCAGAGACACATTACACAAACAACTCCACAAGCCAGGCCCGCTTTGCCATCTGTCAACCAGGACTCGAATCTCTACCAGGAAAGTACACAGTCCATCCTACATCCCGGCCTGGGTCCAACGAAGCGCTAGCCAACCTTTCAATCCGCACAGCCTCAAACAGCCTCAAACCACCAATCTGCCTTGCTCCAAGCAGATGCGGCAGCTGCGACGTTCAGGAAGCAAAGCTTCCGGCGGTGCCGAAGACTCTTCCGGGACCGTGGCTGCAGTACCCTGCCCGGAAGGCCGTGTGGAGTGTTCGTAGTCTTAGCGTAGCACAGGCGTAGGTCCTAGGTGTCCGGAGTATATGAAGAACAATTCAGAACTGCTGTACGGAGTGGAAGGCACATGCAACCATTTATTACCTTCAAGCATGTTGTTCCCGGGTGCACTGGTTCGTTCGGACAAGCTTATCTCGATTACGGCTTGCCACCAGCACAAGCCACCTCAACGCTTTGCAAAGCTCTCGTGGGATTTGTTGCTACTGCATCTCAGAAACCAGGTTGCTTTGGTCCGATGGACCTATTAAACCTTTGCTTCACACGTTCGACAAATCATTCCAGCCTTTGGGAACTTCAGCATGCGACAAATAAGATGATGTTGCGGCTAGGCGCTTCCCAAGTGTCTCAAAATCCACTGTCCGATCGGGGTCTCCAAAACAGCAAAAGGCGAACCCCGAGAGCCAACTTCTAAGTTTTGGAGCTTGAGCAGATGTTGTAACATGTTGAACACAACGACCTCGGAGCGAAGCCCATAAGTTCGCTTCTTCAGCCTCGAAGCCTGAACTTCTGAACCCTTCATTCTGCAAAGCCTCCAAGCTTCGCAACACTGCAACCTGCTGCTTCGGAGAAGGTTCTGGGCTTTGGGGTGGTGGGGCTTGCTGATGCAGGGTTTGGACTGTAGGGCTTCACAGGTGTGATTCTCGAATGTCAGCTTTGATTGCAGAATGATGCCAGAAAGTCCAACATTTATCTCGGAAAGTATCCGCATGCTCCGTGTTATTTGTGTTGAGCTCTGTGTGGAACTAGGCGTTCGCTACACAAGTTGTCAAAGTTGTGTTTCAACTTGCACTGCCGTGGATACAACTGGTAGCTGTGAAACAATAGCATTCCAGTTCATGGTCCCATCAAAATCAGGATTATACTAAACTTGCAGTAGACCAGGCACCCTGTTAATAAGGAATCTTAAGATGTTCACAGCCCGCGGTTTGCTGCCACCTCCCCGGAACCACTCCCAGATTTGCTGACGTGAGGGCCCAACATAAGTGATCTAGATCCAAGATCTCTGAGCCACGAACGGCTCCAGTTCCCTACAATTCAATGCCGCCACATCGCGAGGGGTAGATCAAACCCGGCGCTCCACGTGTGGCAACTATGTGCCTCATGCTAAATCACAGGCTTTCGCCCCCAATCGGAAACCTGTGACTACAATCCAAGCCCTGCCGCTGAATCAGAACATCCAGTGATAACCAAGGCAAGGGCCTCTGCAAAAGCAACGGCTCTTCCTCCGGAAGGGGCTGTTCCAAAACACAAGTCGAACAAGGACGAGGCAGGACACTTTCACCTAGGGTTTAAGGTGCTTTGGGCTGGCTAGATATCTGAGTGACAAAAGCTACGAGGCGGACAGGTGTCAATTGGCCAGTCTCTGACAGAAACACACATGCGAAAGCTGCAGTGCTCGGAGGAAGTCCACGTCTGCCAATCCCCTTGAGCTCCTACATCGGTTGAAGTTTGACCCGGAAGCCAGGAACTTGAGCCCCCAAAGAAACCCCACAGTTTGAGGGCTCAGCTCTAGGAACCGAGGAATCAGACACCAACCTTCCAGTCTGGCGGCTGCGCGAAGTCGGCCGAGAAGCCTCAAGGGCCAAGGCTGTTTGGGGGTGCGTTGATGGGATTTGGCTGACGAATTACGGTGATGGCTTCGGCTTCAAAGCTGAGAGAGATCAGGGCGAAGTGAAGTTTAGAGGGAATTTTGTATCGGGGAGCGTGCGTGCGTGCGTGCAATCGGGTGTGTGTGTGTGTGACTGCACCGAAAACCCCACATCCAGAAGTCTCACAGTAGTCGCTAGTTTGGAGACATTTGCAGGAAAACGGCGCACATAGGCACCGAGCACGGTAGCACGCAACAAGCCGAAAAAGACACGAAGTCCGTACGGCCAAAAATTGAAACACCCCCAGGTGCCCTGAGCTTCGGCCCATGCCATCAACGATCGCTGGCAAGGTACTGCTTGCGGAACTGAGTTGAAAGTTCCCAAACATGTCGATCCGAAGCCGCTTGCAGTTAAGTAAATTCATCTGAAAACCTATCCTACCTGAATACGACCTCCTTTCTCAGACTCAGTCTCTGCACCCCGTATGAGGTCGACTTCTTGTTTGACCGACTTGTGGGTTCTGTAGGCTCATTCTAAATGAGCGTCTGGAAATCTGGAGTTGAAGACCGTTTCCTGTTTCCTTCAACATCAGAGCTTCAAGTTGTTGGAGGCCCCCAGGGCCCCCAGCACAATAACAGACTTCACTCAAATTGTCAAAGGGCCTCTGCTGCACGCAAAAAGGCCGATCCAGGAGCGACCCGAGATCCTGAATTGGATTTACTTGGCGTGTAATTAAGGTGCACGCAGGAATTGAGGAGAGGCTGGAGCAACGAGGGTTCATCGCCGTCGGGGTTTTGAACATCGCGAACGATTGAAATATTGTAGCGAGTTTGATTGAACATTCGGAAGGGTCCACGTCATGGAGTTCGTATCAAGACGAACTGGGATGTGTCGACCCTGGCCTTGTCAGGTAGTAGGAAATTGCCAGCCAAGGGGTCAAGAAGACTCGTGGCCTCGTGAAAACCGTACACTTTGCCTTTCAAACTTCGCCAATGCGTCCTTCACAGCGTAGAGCCTCAACCATGATGCATGACAGAGCATGTTAGTCTAATCGAATGCAGCACGAGCACTCGAAGCAAAGAACATGTCCTTTTCGCCTGCGGCGTGCAAAAGATCTGAGCTCAAGGGGCGCCCGCTGGAGGGAGCCGAACGCACAAAGCACACAGATGCATGCAATCCAAGAGCGTGACATGCAAGCCTAAGGTATGCACGAAACTTTCACTGGTTTAGTTTTCTGTTGGATTGCATCTACCTGCGCGGCTGCTACTGTTTTAAGGTAGCTGTAGGGTTCTGCAGCCAATCGTGCATTGAAAGCTGGAGTTCCAGGGACTGCTTTGTAAGAGAGTCTGCCCACATAAGAGTGGTGGGAACCCAGTGGAATCTTTCGGCGGCTACGACCTCCTGTATAGCCCTGATATTTACCAGGGAGCGCTTATCACTCAGGTTCGGAGAATCACTGACCACCACGTCGTAGAGGCTTTTGGCATCCATGGCGGCGAGGTTGTGGAGTCGTTGGCCGACTCGGTGCGCGGGCACCTCATAGAGGAGCTCTCCCAGGAACATGTTCACGTAGGAGCTCCTGTCGCAGGCTTCGTCTGCAGCGCAGCTCTCAGCTGCCAAGGTCGAACGGCACACCCTTTGGGACCGGCAAGACTTCCAGTCCACGATCATGGCCGGAACGGTCTTCTGCAGCACTGTCGTGCTGCAGAGCACGATCAGCACTCCACACTGGGACCTGCTCTGGTCAGCGTTTGCCCAACTGGCGTCGGAGTACGCCAAAACCACCGTGGCCTTGTTGAGGGGCACGTCGGGGATGATGAAGCCGTCCTCCTTGGTCTCCCGTGCGAAGTCTACGGCCTGGTAGAGGTCGCGAAGGTCCGCGAGGGTCGACTTAGAGCCGTGGTTTGCCAAACTGTTCACAGCGGCCAGCTCTGGCCTTGTCTGGCCACTGATCCATTGGAGGCAGCCGGCTATGCTTCGGAATTCTGCCTTCTGGTCGTCGTTGAGAAGCTGGTCGAGGTCGCTCCCACGTGGAATTTTCCCGGGGGACATGCCTTCGATGAACTCCTTCTGGCAAACGTGGAGGTAAACACGGCCTCCGGGCTTTTCCTTCAGGGTGAGCTGCTTTCCCTTGAAGGTGACGGTCTTGTTGAGGGCGAACTCCTGGAGGACACCCCAGCGGAAGGCCTGAGTGACCTCGGTGTTGTCGTGGTCCTCGCGGTAAGCTCCAATAAAATCGTCCACATAGACGATGATAATGGACACCAGCTGCCCATCGCGGTACTTAAGGAAAACCATCTTGTCAAAGGCGTGCTGCTGGTAGCCAATCTCTTTGAGCCGGGCAATCACCGTAAGTGCCCACAGCCTGGGCGCATTGCTGAGCCCGTAGATGTTGGTACACACCAGGTAGAGCCGGGCCTTCCAGCAATCCGTCATGGCTGTAATGCCATCGGTCGGGGGCAGCAAGTAGAGCGGTTGGTCCCGCTCCGAGTCCTTGGTATCGCCCTGCAGGAAGGCGGTGCTGGCGTCGCCGCTCCAGGCTGTCCAGCTAAGGCCGCTGTCGTCGAACTCCTTGTTGTGGCCCGCCACCATCACGCAGAACAATATGTGCTCTGAGGTCCTGTTCGGGGTGGCGCATTCTCGGTTGAGACGGAAGATGTCGGGGTCCTTGTGTCCCAACGCCACGACCCGGCACTTCGGGACGAGCTCGGCTAGTCCTCGGCTTTTGTCGCGGAAGCAGCTGCGGGTCCTGAGGATCCGCTTCGAGAGGATCTTGTCCTTGAGCACGCGCTCCGCCTCGGCGTGCGACAAGGGCTTGACTGACCCCCATTCCTCCCAGCTCTTTGCCTCCTTCACGGTAGCGGCCTTGAAGGCTTCGATGTCCTTCTCGTTCATGTCCAAGATCTTGCGCCAGGGGATCTCGCGGTCCAAGGCCTTAGCTTCTGCTCTGGTAAGCGGCTTCTTGTTGTGCTTTCCCGGCGCGCTGTCGTCCCAGTCGGAGTCACTGGTGTCGGTCTCGGCGGGGTCCTTGTTGGAGTGCTTGAGGTCGTCCTTGCGGTAGGCGGAGCTTAAGTAGGCCTCGTAGTAGTTCTCGGCTTTAGGACCGTAGCTCTCGTCAAAGGTGACGCCGGGAACGTAGTGGTGAAGGTTGCCGTCCTCGTAGAAGAGGGTGGTCAAGGAGTCGAAGGGCCGCTTGGCAGGTAGTAGGCCCTCGGGCTGTCCGGTAGACGAGTCTGCTTGGCTTGTTCCGAGTAGTCTTGCTGGTCTGTGTCCGTGGTTTCGGGCAGCACCTCGGGAAAAGCTTGTGGTACAGGAGGTTCCTCTTCCATGCCAGGAATGTCTGCGAAGTCGGCCGACTCGTACAGAGCTGACTCCAGTCCTATCTCCAAAGGTGTAGGTGGCACAGGGACCGGTGGCTCTGAAGGTCCTGGCGGTAACGCTTCTTGTTCCTGAGGTCTATCTGAAACTAACGGCGGTAGGGGGACCGGTGGCTCTGGAGGTCCCGCTGGTAACGCTTGTTGTTCCTGATGTCCAAGCTCCGGCTGTAAGCTCTGCGGCAAAGCAGGTGGCTTAGGCGATCGGCTTCTCAAAGCCGCCCGTGGTGTCCGTGGAACGGACTGGCCTCGTGGTGTCCTTGGGGCCGAAGTGGCTCGACGAGCTCCTTGTGCAGGGTCCCCAAGGCGAGCCGTGTTTTGAATGATGGTCTGCTGCAGGTGGGGCTGTATCACCACCGTCTGGTTCTGTTGGTTCATCTGCAGACCTGGGTCTCCTAGAACGGAAGGCGCCGGTCCGGACGGAGGTGTCTGCGGTATTGCCGCCGTTGCTGCTGCGAGCTCTGGGGCGGCGCCGTCGAAGAGCTCGGTGTCCAAGTCCACTTCGTCCTCGTCGAGCTGCCTCTTTGGTGGCGGCGGTCCCGTCTCGTCGGCCCACACAGAGCTGTCCAGGTTCTTGGCGGCGTCCTTCAGCATCTGAACCTCCTCCTCAGTCGGAACCCAGGCCTCGAAGCCCGTTGCCACCCGCAATTGCTCGATGGCAACCATGGCAGTTGAAGTCCCTGACCTCACCCACGCGAGCTTGCCTGGCGAGCTGGGGTCCCAACTCAAGAACTTGGCTGTTACCCAGCCGCCCCGCTTCTTGATGCCGCGCTTCCCAGTAGGCGCAAGGCTGGCCGGGCTGGAGATCTGCCACGCGGACGTTGCGGGTCTTTCGGAGAATGGCCCGCGGCAAGCTCTGCTTCACGTTGAGGTCGGCTATCGTCTTGGTGGCCTCGGCCCTGACGATCTCGGCCGAGGCTGCTGCGTCTGTGGTCGGTGTCGTCGCCAGGGCGTGGCTGTCGGAGAAGAGGCCGCCAGGCAAACGAGGAACGCGACCGAAAACTGCCTGGTATGCGCTCCTTCCCCTGGTCAGCACCATAGAGTTGACAGCGTGCAAGGCGGGAGCCAACAGGAGCTGCATCTCGGTCACGTCGGTGGCCGCGAAGGTGTCCACCAACTTCTCAATCACCGTGCGGAGGAAGGCGTTCTGTCTCTCCACCTGTCCTATCTGCCAGTGTGCGTCCGCGGCACAGTAGTTCACGAGGACGCCGTGTGAGCGAAGGCGCTCCTCAAAAGCTCCTTGAAAGGTGCCGTCCGGGTCGACGGCAAGCTCCACCATGAGGCCAAAGGGGCGCAACCAGATTCGCTCGAGCGCCTCGTATGCAACTTCGGGGTCCCTCGAAGGAAGTATGGCCGCCTGATGCTGATGCAACCTTGTCGCTGCGTCCACGACCCCCAACACAATCACCGAACGTCCTCGGAGGTCTCGGCAGTAGAAAACGTCCGCCTCGACCCTGTCACCAAACTGTGTTGCTCTCGTGGTCGCGGTAGCCGGCGGAGGTTTTTGGGGGCCACGAAGTCGTTCGCAAGTGGCGCATCTAAGTCGCCGGATGGCCTGCAAGAACAGGTCGCTCTGCGTGCCAGTTTGCACCGCAAGTCTCAGTAGCTCTTCAGGTGTCGCGTGCCCTAAGTTCACGTGGGCTCTTGCTATTGCGCGTCTCACCTCAAGAGGCACAGTAGGAGCCAGGCCTGGAAAGGTGATGTCTGTCGGCAAGCCGGCGACCGGGACCTCGGGGATTTGCTCTGCCTTATCTTCGATGAGGTCAACATACGCCAAAATAGCGTACCTCACCGCCTTGGAAAAACGCTGCTTCGGCTGCTGAACCAGACTGAGGTCTTCCACCTCGACGGTGCGGCTGCCGTCGGCATACATCAGAAAGGCTGCCCTGGCAGTAAAGGGGATGTCCGTCGGCATCCTCCTCTGAGTGGGTGTCTGCACGCACTGGATCCGGGCCAAACGCAACCGAAACAAATCTGAAATCTTTTGCCCCACCTCCCCGGCCGGATCCACGTAGAAGGGCCGAGAGCTCGAACTGCCAAAGGAACGGTGCAGCATTTCGGCCATCTCGTTCCAGGCCGTCTGCTCGGTCACGGGGGTGCGGTAGCTGACGAAGGCCTCGTAGATGCCGAACCGCAGGGGTTCCTTGCCGACAACATAGTCCGTAATCGTGCCAAGGAGGGGCTCGAGGGCCTCGGTCTGGTAGTTCTCGTGGTAGGTGTCCGCAAGGGTCGCCGCGGCTCCAGGGATGTTGGTGTAGACGTGCACCGGGGTGTCTCTAGCCAGCCGGGTCGTCGCAAAGGAGTGGTCGGCTAGCTGCTGGCAGTGTGCTCCCAAGCTGGAGCCGGGCCTCGTCATCACGATAAAGGCCCTGCCGTGGTCGATCTGGTCGGCCAGGAGGTGGTGCATATTGTTGCCGAGGGTGCCGTCGGGGAAGAAGTCGAGGTAGGAGAGGCAAAGAACGTGTGGCCGAAGCCGACGTAGTGCTCGTAGTGCTCCTCTCCATCCCTCCGGGTCGTCGCGAAGACGGTCGGCCACCCCAGCAGAAAAAGTCGAAGAGGATATTCGTCTTGAGGCGAGGCCGTCCCTGATGTGGTAGCGGTCCGGGAAGACAGACAAATAGTCCACCGTCGGGGGCGGCCGCGTGGTAGTCGACGGCGCTGCCTCGTAGATCCCCTTCTCGCTCTCGAGCACCTTTGCTGATTTTGCACATGTGCCCTTGAGCCGCTTCACGCGGCCTCGGTCCAGTCGTAGGTCTCCGAGTCCTCGGCGTTGAGCAGCTTCCAGGGGTCGACGTCCATCTCGGAGGCGCTGCTCGCCGAAGCTCGGCGTGCCGATCGCTTCTTCGGGGAAGCCTTCGCCGTGGCGCCGGTGCGGGAAGTCCGGGATGAAGGCCGGAACGCTGTGCTGCTCGATGGCGCCGCCTCCGATAAGATATTGGCAGAGCATGGTAAAGGCGGTCGCGAAGAAAGTAGTGTAGTGGCGAAGCCCGCCTTTGGGTGATCTTCCCATGCTCCTCGATGCTCGCTCCACCGGAGTCTCCGGTGGCATTTCTTGCACCGGGCGAACTTCCCGAACGAGTTGCCGTAGCGGACGTACTCGGGATGCTCGCAGGTGCTCTGGGGATGGTTGAAGGCCACGTCCAGCACCGGCGGGATCGTCTCGAACACCGTGGCCGGGAGGATGTCCAGGTTCACCGCCACCGCCAAGCTCATGAAGACCTGCTTCCGGAAGTGAAGAAGGTGATCCGTGAGGCGCCGCCAGCAGCGAAGCCATCCAGGTGGGGGCGGCGCACGGGAGGTCACACGATCCATGCGACGGCGGTGTGCTCTTCGGCCCGGTCTCTGCGACGTCTTGGGCCACAAGCTCGGCGGGAGCGCTTTCCCAGTTCACGGTCTCTTGCAGCTGCTGCCATGTGACATGGTTGCTAAAGTCAGTGATGCAGACTGTGAGGTGACCACCGATCCTAAGCAACGGCACTGTGACAGACAACTTCTCAAAGCAGACGCGGTTCCGGGGCAAGTCAAGGATCATGCCAAGCTGGTCCAGAAGCTTATTGGAGGCAAGCAAGGGAATTTTTGCAGTCACGACGCCAACTCCGAGAATCAAGTTGGTGCCTCCGAGGCCCACGGGCAAGTAGTTGCGCCGGGCCGCTTTAAGCGGGTCTCCGCTTCCGAACTGGAACGAGTCTGTGCAAGAAACCTGGTGTGAGCCGAGGCCGTGCTTCTTGAGCTGGCGGTCGTGGCTCCTTTCCCAGTCGACTCCGCAACAGGTGCGCTGGCAAGCCGTGCCCAAAACCATGACACGAGAAAAATCTGCACACATCTCGGGCTTGGCCTGCACCTTGAAAACAACATTGGCTTGAAAAAGGGCGCCATACTCGGGGACGTCGGTGGCCTCGTAGGTGCCCGCGTCCCGCATGAAGAAGGTCTGGTGGGCCGGCTTTCGGCTCTGCTGCTGTGGCGGGCCCTTTCCAGGTGAGCCCTTGCCGGAAGGTCCAGGCCCTGATGTCGAAGCGCCCGGCCGTGAGCTCGAAGTGCCGGGCTTTGGCGTCATCGGGCACTCTTCGTCCCCCTTCCAGTATCCCAGGGCCCCGCATGCTTTACAATGCGTCTCCTTCTTCACGGCGGCGGGGTCTCGGCGAGGTCCCCCGCTGAACTTCCGGCCAAGGCGAAGCCCAGAAAGCTTCTTTGCAGTGACGGTCAAGACCTCTGCCACTTCAGAGAGGTCGGGGTAGTCCTCCACGTCGTCCGGCTCCGGCTGCTCGGCGTCGGGGCCGTCCGCGTCGTCGGGGCTGCCGTCGGCGACGAGGTCGGGCTGCTCCTCGGGAATCTGCTCCATGTGCTCGGCCTCCTCGGTCACGTACACCCTGCGGGGGGCCGGTCCTTTGCCACGGTCGTGGAAAGCCCCTTTGCCAGGAGATTGTCCGGCCGGTGTGCTGTGGCCTCCCTTGCCGCCCTTGTCCCGGGAGGGCAAGAAGGGCTTGCTAACCAAAGTCCCGTCCTTGTTCACCACCGGCGGGGCCGCCTTGAACTCCGGGTACTGCATGACCATGCTCTCGGCCACGTTGTCGAAGTCGAGGCTGTACCTGGCGCCAACCAATATCAGCCTCTGGTCTGCCGGCGTCAAGCGGGCACGCTCGAGTAAACGATTTCCCCGGGCCTCGGAATCATACATGCCGGTGATACTGACTCCCAAAGCTTCCAGCGACCTTTCGACTCGGCGGTATCTGTTCGCGTAGGTCCGGAGTCCTTCTCCTGGATATCGGCTGAGTTGCTCGAAATCCGACAAAAACTTGCGTTTTTGATACACAGCTTTTTGTTCCATAGGTGCTCTGAGGGACTCCAAGAAAAAATGTATACCGCTGTCGCAGTTGATCTTGTCGAGGGGGGCGTGTTCGAGTTCGGCTTCCGCCTCCCCCGAAAGGGAGCTGTAGAGGAGGAGCGAGGCCTCGCGTGGAGTCATATACGTCTTGATTTGCATTTCCCATATCTGCACTTTCCTCGACCATTTCGAGAATGCCCTCAAATCTGTCACATCGTATCGCCACGTTGGTGGCGAGGGGGGAGTTCCCCCGCGCCACCGGACATTCTTTTCCGGTCCCATCCTGGAGTTCCACGAAGGTGTGCTTGTGCTGTCCTTCTTCCGAGGGGAAGAAGCAGCACGCATGTCCCCGAGCGACAAGTGCTGAGGGTGCTCGAGGTTCTCGTGGGCAGGGTCCTGGTCGAGGTCGGCGCGTGCAGTCTTAACCTGGGCTCGGTCAGGGCGCTCAGGTAGAACAGGTGGAGCTTGTCGAGGTAGAGGTCGGCCAGGTGGGGCCCATCCTGCCCAAGGGTCGTGGTCGGGAGGTAGCCGAGGATTCGCCTGCTGACACCGTCGGGTCGTAGGTCAGGGTCTCCGACTCAGCTTTTTCCGACCGCTCCGAAACACCATCTCCAGGAGGAGGTCCACCTCGTGGCCGTCTGTTCCGTCGCCGGCGGCGCGGCGGCAAAGGTCCACCTGCATCATCATCATCGCCGGGCCGTGGTCCTGGAGCGGGCGGTGGTGCATGTCCGGCAGGTACGTAGTGCCACTGGCCTTGTCCATGCTGGGCCTGTCTAGTCATCGGCCTGTCCACCCGGTACTGTACAAACGAACCACAAGTCCGGCAGCGAGGTCGGCCAAGGTAGTCGGGGAGGAAGTCGTTACCGTCGCAGTCGGCGCACCTCATCAACTCCCCGAGCCCTGGCGGCAGCGTAAGTCCTGGATCGGCAGTGGCGCCTTCCTCGGGTTCCAGCTCCGGCAGCTCTTCCTCCAGCCCAAAGTCAAGGAGGTCAGCTGCTGCCATGTCGAACGTGGGAACCAAGGGCATGACGAGGTAGGCGCGGCACAATCAGGCTCCGGTGCCAACTAATCGAATGCAGCACGAGCACTCGAAGCAAAGAACATGTCCTTTTCGCCTGCGGCGTGCAAAAGATCTGAGCTCAAGGGGCGCCCGCTGGAGGGAGCCGAATGCACAAAGCACACAGATGCATGCAATCCAAGAGCGTGACATGCAAGCCTAAGGTATGCACGAAACTTTCAGTTAGTACAGAGCGCTGTGGTTTACTGCAGAACGTATAAGCAAAAAATATACAACAAGATGCCTGCCTGTATGTGCACAAAAGGCAAACACACACACACACACAAAAAAAAAAAACACCAACGCATAGATGCATGCATGCGTACATACATAGGCATATATAATACATATGTCTGTATGTATATATATATATACACATACACCTACACACGTGAGAGTACATGTGCAGGTATGTGCACAGGCTCCTCTGCCGGCCAGGCGACAGTCCAAGCCCGCAGTGAAGACTGAAGCTCCTTCTGCGGCAGTTTGACAGTCTCTTGAGTATCTTATTTTTGAAGGGCTCCTAGATTTTGGAGATAGAATTGGAGACCCAGGACGGAGTTTGAGATGGGGGCGATAGAATTCAAGCCGGGGCAAGCCCGGGAAACCGAGAACTCTTAACAACTTGCAGCTTGTCAAAAGCCATTTCCATGTGATGCATTCTCGGGTCACCAACTAGAAACCCCACATCTCGGCTGCCAACGGGTGACCCAAAGTCCTGGCCAGTTGCATGTAGTCCACATGACCCCGAGCCCTCAAGTAGTCCTCATCCTCCCACTCACAAGTCACGATCAAGTCGGCAGCAGCTGTTTCACTCATACCCCCGCGCGGATCGCTCTGGCGGGGTTCAGCGAGCCTTAAAACACATTGATGTCAAGATGTGTCCAGCTGCTCAGGGTGGGTCAGGTCACTAAAAGCAGAAGGGTAAGGCACTGCAAGGGTTTGGCCAGGATTGTGGTTGCGAGATCGGGTAGAGGCCGAAGGCCTGTCCAAGAGCCTCAAAGGCTGGAGATCTGCTCTGGGTGGCTGCGCAGGCTTCCAAGGCATGAAAGGTGCACACTATGGCTAGAAGCTCGCGGAGGGAAGGTCGACCTCATTTCGGTTCTTCGGATTCCATGCAATGACAATTTTAGTCTGCCCTTGGAGCTCTAGGAGCGGTGGTGGTTGGATGTTTTTTGTATTTCGTAGATAGCCGCAGCGAGCAATAGAAGAACAAAGAGCAGCAGTAGCAGTAGCAGTAGCAGTAGCCGTAGCCGGAGCAGGAGCAGCATCAGGAGCAGGAGCAGGAGTGGGAGCAGGAGCAGGAGCCGTAGGAGCAGTAGGAGTAGAAGTAAAAGTAGAAGTAGAAG